CTACTATAACAGACTACTATAGATTGAGTATATTAAACAACAAACATTTGTTTCATTTATTTCTCACAGTTCTGGAGGCTGGAAGTTTCAGTTCAGGGTGCCAGCATGGTCATTTTCTTGGTGAGGGTCCCCTTCCTGGTTTACAGATGGCTGACTTCTCCTTGTATCCTTACATGGCAGAGTAAGAAAAAAAAATGTCTCTTGTTCTTTTTCTTATAAAGGCATTAATCCCATTCATAAGGGCTGCACCTTGTGACCTAATTACCTCCCTAAGGCCCTGCCTCCTACTAGCATTGATTTGGAAGTTAGGATTTTAACATATGAATTTTAGAGAGACCCAAACATTCAGCCCATAGCATATCCTGTTTCACATACTTTAAATTTAGAAGCACTTAATTTTACTATGAGGAGTCAACCTCAAACATTACTTTTACATAAAACAGTTCTGATAAATGTATGATTTAAAGTAACAATAACTTTGTGAAATTAGATACAATGAGCAATATAACATTTATTCAGGTTCTAGTTACTATTGTTCTTTAGCCATTATATAGTCATAACATAATCTGCAGAGCAGATTGAGTTCTTTCTCATTAGGATTTTCTTGAATTGGTACCTTGACTTAAAAGCCGACCCAAGTCACTGTGTTATTGGTCTTTTGTTTTTCCTCTGAAGGCATTGGCAACTCCATCCCTTTGTGATTTGCTTGCAGTTTTATCACTTGACATAGTGAGTTTGAGTTTATCTTTTCTTCTTAAATACTACCTATTTCCTTAGAATTCACATTTCAAGAATCCCCTGGATATTCTGAATACATTGCCATTTTAAGAGGTTCTCCATTCCATTTTTCAATTATCCACCAATAATCCTGCCTTTAATCCTAGCAAAGAACTTTCTCTACAAAAGACCCCTAAGCCATCATCATTCTCCCAGAGAAAATTATTCTCCAACTTTCCCCTCAATTTCTTCTTGTAAACATTGAGTCTTTGACGCTCTTCCCAGAGAGTTGTTAGCCTTTTGTCTCTTCTTCCATAAGAATGGGCTTTTGCAATCAGACTTGAGTATAATCTTGAGCTGAACTCAATGAACAAATGATTTCGGCACGGCTGTTGTATTTATAACTCTGTAGTAGAAAAATGGGGTTTATAATCTGTTTTCGCTACTGAAAACAGGGTAAGTAAGGGTTTGCTGCTACTAATCTTACTCCGGGAGCACTCTTATTTTTAAGATAGGTACATAAAAAATCAACTCAAGAAAATGTTTCTTGAATGAAGCAAAGTGTTTTGCAGCCCCAGCTATAGATTTAGATGCCCTAGCTCACTCCATTTGGGAATATTCTCTTCCAGGCTATAATTTCTTCCTTCTCTTTCATAAGACTGGAGGAGGGAGAGTCAGCTACAAATCTGGTTATAACATAACTGCAAATAACCATGTTGTCAGGTAACTTGTCTTTCATGTGATAGAATACATTGGTTTGAAAACATATCAGAAAATATTTTACTGGGATCTTTCAGAAAAAAAAAGTATAAGACACACTTGCCCATGCCTTTTTGGAACAATTTATTCCTTGCTAAAGTATCTGCTTGTTGCTATACAGATGCAGTCTGAGAGATTAAAAAATTAAAACCATCAGTGTGTCCTACATAAAAGCAAATGAGCTTCTCAGGCTTTAGAAGACTTTTATATATGTGGTTTTTTTTGTAGGCTAATTTAAATGTTAATAAAAAGATAAGAGAATTGATCCAAATGTCTTTATTCTTATACTTATAAACCAAATTCTGCACATTGGTTCAGAAATAATGAGCCTTTAACCAATTATAAACATCTCCATTCTAATTATTTACATTGAAGTACTTTTAAAGATTGCATCTAAGCAGCAGTGATTGAAACAAATGTTTTTGTAAGTTTTTTTCTATAATGCCCCCCATTTTTTTATAAATGTTTAGAATATTTAGACATATTTCAGGTGTTTTGGGATCTTCTTGTTGCTATTCATTGGCATGAGATGAGTTGATTAATAAACTGATGGATCACCTAGTTCTCCAGTTGGTCCTTCACATTTGTGGTACAGGTCAGGATTTCTAAGAGAATAATGAAACCTACTCACACCTATTATCCCTGCAAGAGGAAGGCTACAAAGGCAGGACGAATCCCACTCAAGCCACCATCCATACGAATCCACTGGTTTAGCATGTTTCCTCTCTTAATTATGTTTTGCTGAAGACCGATATTAACAGCATTCTGCCAGGAAAACACTAAAGGACTGTGTCAGAATAAAGAAGACTAAAGAGAAATGACAACTGAATTCAGGGCATGACCCATGACATTTGATTTTTTTGACCATAAAAATAGTATTGAAATCTGAATAAAGCCTATAAATTAGATAAGAGTATTATATCAATGCTAGTTTTCTGATTTTGATAATCTTTTGGTTTCATTGGAGAATTTCTTCTTTATTGGAAACATACACAAGTATTTAAAAATAAAGGGGTTTCATGACTACAACTTATTCTCAAATAATTAAAAAACTCAGAATCTATTAAAAATGTGTGCAAATATACTTACATGTATACACAGAGGTATACATGTGTATATAAGGCATAGACATTCCGTGTATGTCTGTGCCTGTACACACAAAGAGAGATACAGCAAATGTAGTAAAATGTTAACATTTGGGGAATGCAGATGAAGGCTATATGAGAATTCTTAGAGCTATTCTAAAAACTGCTTTTGTAATCATTAGGTTGGTGAAAAATAAAAGCTCTTTACTATGAGTCTGAAAATTTGGCAAAATAACTAGTTAAAGGAAAAGAAAAATGTCCCAGCTTGCATGTTTTTGAGAGTGGAACAGGTAGCTCAGAAGCAATAGTATAGCAGGAAAAATGCAACCAAATATGGGAAACTGTAGGCATTATTAAAAACTAGTAAACACTGTTAGTCTACATATTCTTATATGGTTGTATGTCAAAACCTAAAACTAAATTTTCACTTAGGAAAATATATTAAATGAATGAGAACAAACCCACCCAGGAAGTTGGAAGTAGTAAATTCTGTAGTGTTTTATCTGTAGTTGTTGACAAATGCCAACCTGGCTTTAGTGTATACACAGGATGATTCCGTTTATTTTTATGAGTGTTGATACTTTCCAGATGTTTGTTTTATTAACCTACCTAATTTTCTTCTTTCTAGTAATGAAAGCACTGAGTCCTGTTAATTTCAGAGCAAACAGCAAATGCATAGTGGATTCTTACAGCTATATTTCCTCATTAAATTTGCTAATTTTTATGAAACATTAAACAGATTAAATAATGAGAAATAATTCTACTTTATATTATATTTTACCAAATCTTCCTGTCAAAAGAAATATTTTTCGTCTTTGTATCAGACACTGCTTACTCAGTATATGTATTTCCCGCAAGACCCCTCTTCCTGTCCACAGATCTCTGTGCTTCAGGGCAAAGAACCTCATTCCTAGTTCCAGGAGGCAGAGCTTTTCTGATCCAATCACAGTGATTCTACACCCTAACAGTGACTAGTTTAGGAATTGGCATATAACTCATTTTTAGCAAAGGAAATTTGCTCATTGGGATTTAAGGGGCATTTAGTTGATTCCTGAGAAAGAGACCTTTGTTCTTGTGACTGTGATGCTGGATGTGACACCTGGATCTGTGCAGCCTTCATAGGACAAAGCTGATGAGGGATGGGAGAGTGGAAAGATGGAGAGAATCTGAGTCCCCAATGACAGTGATAAGCTGCTGAATCAACCAGCCCTGGCACTGTTATTACATTTGGACTTGCAGATATTATTGACTATTATACCTAGAAATTTGTGTTTTTTGAAGGTGAATACATACTAACTTTTCATTAAGTATTCTAAAAGTTTTCTACAAAAAAATTTAAATTTCATGATTATTAAAAAGCTAGTAAGATTTATCAAGCCAATTAGATGATACAGGCTTTTGCATTTTATTTAAACCAACCATAGAAATATATATTTCTTGAGTCACAGTCACAATCTCATTTATTTTCTGAGATGTATATTAACAGTTTAGAATGAGAAATTTATGAAAAAGAAGATAAAGGAATTCTGGCTGTAAAGCGAAAGTAATATTTACCTACTTCGTAAAGTGATAGTGAGAACTGAATGAGCTATATTGAAAGCTCATAGAGCAGTGGCCAGCAGGTTGTGAGTTCAACAATTATTGTTAACAATAGCAATGATAATTCTTCTTTTTTTGTGGTTTTTGCTGCTAAAATACTTGCTATCTTAATTTTAATTGTTTTTATTTTAAGTAACAGACTCTCTGAGAAGCAATGAACACCTCCAGTGAATTCAACTGGGGAGTTTTGGGGAATAAATATTATAATTTCTAGTTCTTAGATGAAAAAAACTGAATCATATGGATGGGACTTTCTATGCAACATCTTCAAATACACTCTTGATCATCACATGGGTACCAAGTCCAACACAGCATCATTTAAAAATTTGAAGGGTACCAAGGTGTACTCCAGTGTGTGTCAAACAGTGGGCCATATTACAGTGGTAGATTATGAGGCCAATTTAGTGGGGTTGCAACCATAATTTTAAAGAATTGAATTATTATGGAGTAGGACTGGTAAAATAAGAGTGAATTGTCTATATAAAGGTAAATATTGTTTTGTGAAACCTTGTTTTGGTAATGTATGCGTGTGTTGGTTTACATTACAAATGTACTTCTCACTGTGAGTTTTGATTATTGGTATAGTGGAGAAACAGGGGCTCTACAGCCAGACACTCTTGGCTTCCAGTATCATTGGCCTGTTTTACAGAAAAGAGCATAGAACTGTGCCTACAAGCTAACAGGCATTCAAAACAATGTCCCTTCTTTACTGCCTCTGTCCACAGGCTGCCCCCACCTTCTCCAGTGTGGACTTGAAGTTTTGGAACCACAGAGTAATGCAACACTGACATTAGCAAACAAGATGTCCTTAAACAAACAGGTATCATTGTTTCATATTATTACAAATTCATCCATGCTTGGCACACCAGGAGCTCTGCAGCAAGGTTCTGAAGCAAGGAAAATCAGTTGTATTTAAACGACGACAAATAGTGTCTCCTGAGCTGCTCATAGCCAAGAAATCACTCTGGCCTCATTCTTAAAATAAGATATTTGGTTAGAACTATTGATTGTTTTCACTTTTGTTACCTTAGCAGAATGACGCATCATCCATCAAAAATGTGAGTGTGAGGATGGTGGGACCATTCTGGCACGCTTGAGCAGCAGGGCCCTCTGAGCCCTCAGATGTCGTCTAGCCAGGTGTGTGGGGGCCACTTGCCATGCGCAGCTTCTCTCAGCAGAGGTGAGTTAAGGGGAGGGAGAGGATAAATGTGTTATCACATGCTACCCATTGCTTATTACACAGGGAGCCCACATCTCCAAGTCCAGTGCATTTATTTGATATTACTCACCTTAGTTCCTTGTTTACCTGGGTGGAATGCTCAGGGGGAGGAACCAAAACATATTATTTGGTTTGACTGACATAGTATTGAGCAGAAAAAGACGAATTCTCCTTTCCACCTCCTTTCCTTCTCTTCTTTTCTTCTTCCTCCTCTTCTTCCTCCTCCCCTTCTACCTTCCTTTTCTTCTTTAATAAAGCATCCGTTTATGTACCAGAACTTAGTGAAACTGCTGAGGTAGTCAAGGCTATAAATTGAACCAGTCCCTTTTACCTCCAGAAAATATGAACGCATCCTTCTGCCACAGGGCTGGCACACATGGCGGGATTATGCTGCCGTTAACAGGAAGGCAGGAAAGTACATTATCACTTCAGGGCTGTCATTACCAGAGGGTTTCGCTGTGAACTATAGCATTCAGGGCAAGGCAGGCAGTGGAAAAGGGGGGCTGGGTGGGCAGGGAAGAAAAAAAGAAAGTAAGTGTTGTTGTTGTTGTTCTTCCCTTAACAGGCTGACCAGAATGGTGGTGATATGAAGAGTTGGGGAATTCAGCTTGAATACAAAACATAATACTGCTTCCACTTAAAAAGGCAATGACAATAGCTACCTCCTTCCATTGTCCTGTAGGTACATATTTGGAAAAAGACAGGCTCAGCCACACCTGATGGCTTCAGCTAATCAATTCATGTGCATCTTAAGTCTGTCAAGACGAGATCACCTATTTAGTGTTAAGCCTAAAGGGATATATTTTGTGCCAGTGAAATCTCAGAGAGATCAGTTCACTACTCACTTTTTTTTTCTTTCTTGATGTGCATAGAACAAATCCATTTTAAGATTATTTTTCCTCCTTGGTGTAAATTTTAAAATTTATTTTAAACAAATCACCTATTTAATATCATAAATTACAGCAATAAAATGACCAAGAGATGAGAGTGCGTGTGACTTTTCAGGTTAGTTCATAATACAGTTGCAAAGTTCTATATCTAAGTAGCGTTATTGCCATCTTATAAGGGCAGAACTTGGGGATAGGCAGTGGAGCGAAGTTCAGAATCTTGGGCTTTGTTTTCTTCAGTCCCTTCTACAGAGGTTGCTTAGCACAGATACTGAACTCTTAACTGAGAGAAGTTACAATCATTTTTAGTCTGTTTCTTCACAGTCTGTTTTTTGTCTGGATTCTGGTGTATAGCATAACAGATAAGCAGATCCCTAATGAGTTCAGAGCCAGCCAGTTAGTTCCTGGATATGTAAGCAGGTCCTTGTTAATCCAGTTAGGTGTAGCAGGTTACTCATTCTTCCCATTTCTGCCCTTCACCTTGCCCTCCACTAAGATTTCTAATTTTATTTCAGAAAGAGCTACCTTTTAGCAATGAAGAAACCATTGTTATTATTTTTAAAAAGCAATAGTGGTGAGAGTAATTCTAGGCAAAGTGTTGTAGAAAACGTAAACAGCATGAGATGGCGGTCCTGTGATTCCCTACAAGACCATCTGTTTTCCCAATGAAAAATCTAGTGCTTCCTCAAGTTATGTTTTAAAAGGCTTAAGCAATCATTCAGATAATCAGACTTCATTGCTGTGAAATTTCATCGAAGTGTACTCAATCCTTGAACTCATATCTGGGTCCATTTTGCCAATCAGATAAAACTTCCTAGGCTTTTTCCTAGAGGCATGAGTGGTTAACTTGATCTTATTGCACTGCAAAAGATTTTGTGCTACACATCATTTTTCATAAAAGCTATTTGTTGTGTTAGGAGAACTCCAGAGAGACTGCTTGTTAGAATAGATTTTGGGGGTGAGAGTGGGCCGGCACTTGCTCTGCTTTGTCACTTTGGACCAAATGAAAATTCTTAGAAATTGTTACACGTTAACCTCAGAGGAAATGAAGAGGCAAAAACGTGATACAGAGGGAATTAGCGTCTTGGGAAGTAAAGATGTTATTTCTCATGAACAGACCAATAATTATTAAAAAACAAACAAATGAAATCCAAAGAAATCCATAATTTGGAAGCATTGAATTCCTTTGTCTTAAGATTGTCCCTTGCTTCTTCTTTCAGTTGGCATAGGGGTTGTTTAAGCCACCTGACTCCTTTTTTTTTTTCCTTTGTAAAGGTCAGCCAATGCATGCCCACTCCTGTCCACACCAGCACAAACAGCCTTTGCATTGAAAAAGCACTAGGTGGTGCCCATTTTCTTTGCCGGTGAAAGGGCTGGATTCCCCAAGGGAGTCACTTCGGGGAAGTTCATCAGGCCCCAGCCCACACAACACAGTGCACTTCTCTCCTCTCACAGATGACCAGGAGCTTGGTGTCACAGTCCGTCCCTTCCCTCATGCATCCTGGGGCTTGCCTGTTTTAGGACAGAGTGTTGATTTGGGGAGACAGTGTTTTTACATAGGAGGGTAGGAGTGGAGGGGATGGTGGCAGAAAGCTTCGAGTATTCCCTTTGAAAATGAAAGATAAGAGGAATAAAGGCTGCAACCCTGCCATCTGCCTTTGTAAAACGTCATAGTATAATATCTCTGCCAAGGCTCTCCTCCTGCCAGATCATCTGGACAATGCAGTGCACATGCTAATTTTATTTTTTCCCACTTTTGCCTGTAATCAAACTGTGAAAATAATAAGAGAAAATGAAGGTTAATCTTAAATTTCAATTTGTCTCTTCACAAAAATAATTCTTTGTTAAATAAAGTATAGCTAAATTGAAGATTTTGCATGCCCATGTCTCCCCCCAATACCTACCATATGAAGAGGTGGCTTTATACTAGTGAGTTCTTTCCTTTTAAAAAAAAATCTTATTAGGCACGCTTAACAGATTGTTGCTTTGTGTTCAAGGAGAGCAGATAACTGGCTAAGAAGATTTTTTTTTTCCAGAATAATTTTATCCAGGCAATATGCCCATCAGATCTGTTTTAGAATGTAGAACTGTTTAGAAAGTTTTTGTTCTTGTAAAGATCTGGTAGCAGCAATTGAGCATAATCATGCTATTGTCATAAAAGGAAAAGAAGAAAAGAATAAAGCAGTTTTTTCTAATACACATATGTCTTGTCTATCTATAACCTATTCCCTGAAATTTGGCCTAATAGAGTTATTTTGTTCAAATATATTTATTTTGTTTTAGAGAAAGCAAGAAAATTGTTTTTTGAATGCCAAAGAAGTAGATTCTTGCAGTAAAATCTGAATCTTGTTTCACAGGTTGGTGAACCATACTCGAACAAAAAGGAGAAATAAGACTGTAAGTAGTTTAAAAAAGTTGAACTAAGAGAAAAGCTTTATTATGAAACTATGAGGATTATTTCTGTGCACTGGCTGCCCTGTCATATGTCATGGCATGTGGCGGGTTGACTGCTCATTAATTCTATTTATATCAGTATGATAATCCACCCCACTGAGTATGCATGTGTTAAAATATTCATAAATTATGTTTATTGTGACCAAATATACATTAAATGCCAAAAGAAGACCATTATTTAAAGACAAAACTAGTCAACAATCAAACAAGCAAAGCCTTTTTACTGTCAGTCCAGTACATTATGTTTTATCAAATTCACATGAATTACCTCTCCTTCCAGTGCCCCATAAGGAATGTTTATCCTTTGTTTTTAAACTATGCAAAGAAATAGACTTCACTGAAAGGAATAGATTTGGAAAACAAAAGCTGTTACATGATCTCAGACTAATAATAACATCGGCTGGAAGAAACCATCTAGGGAAATGCACTTCTGGCTTCCAAAATTATTTGATCCCTAATATACCCTTGACCTGAATTTGATGGTATGTCATAAAATCATAGACTAAGTTAAATAAAGCAGCTAACTTTTTTTGATAAACTAGGCTGCCAATAGAATTTTAAGTTTGTACATTTTTTTTGAAAACAAAACAAAACAAAAATAGGATGGTTAAGAAAATCTACAAGGTTGAGAATTGAGACCAGTAATTAAACTATACTGTGGCAGACTGTTTTGGAACTTATTACTTCCAAATGAAGCAATCCTTAACTACTCTGTTTTGAATGATTCCAGGAAGTCGAAAAAATTGAGGTGATTATTCTTTTTACAGGCTGCTTATGCAGCAACACAGCACAGTTGAAAAGTTTGAATTCCGTGTCAAAATCCAAAGTGGTTTTAGTTAAAATATATTGCCTAACTTACCCAATTTATCATATTCTGAATTGAAGCCATGAAAACATCTAAGATTATTAATTATGAGGACCATACTTCAGATTTAACCAAAATAATGATCATTTTAAAAAGTGACCTTAGTGCTGACTTAATAGTCTATTTGTAATATCCTCTAGGAAACTGTTAAAAATTTCAAAATTTAAATTATACTTGAAAGGACTTTTTTCTAAATCAAAACAATAAGTGATGAGTAAAACAAAATAGAAATTTCTGAATTTATTTCATTGTCACCATATGCTTATTTTAAAGAAGAACACAACATTTAGAGAACAAAACACTAAAAATTAAATATTTTTCTCATGTTGCCAATACTTACTATGGGAATGAAGTCATCACTCAGATTGCATGTTAATTTCAAGTAAGATTTTTGTTTTTCTATATAATGACATCATTATAGAATGTTTTACTTTCTACTTTTCCTTGGAAGAAAAATGTCTTTACTTCTATACAATCTTTTAAGAAACCTAAACAGTATGGCAACTTAAACTGGTATAGGAAATCTCTCCAAGGAAATAATTCAAAATGTGGAAAAAGCCATATATAAAAATTTTCTTTATAACATTATTTATAATAGCAAACATTGGAAGGCATTTTAATATCTATCAATGGAAGCTTGGTTAGGCAAAGATGACAATATTCATTTGATGAAATATTATGCAGTCAATAAAATTGGTATGCAGCAGTATTAGAAATATGGGAAAAATACTAAGTTAAAAAAAGGTAACAAGATGAAGGTGTAGCATGATTATAATAATTTTAACACACGCAAACAATAAAACACTAAAAGAGGATGCACAAAAATGTTAATCATCAAATTAAAGATTGAAATGGATTTTTTACCCTCTTTTCAAGCTTTTATTATGTTGTCTCATGTAATTTAAAATACATTTTAACATTTCAAAATTATTACCAGTAATCAATTTATATTTTTTCTTCAGATGTCATAAATAATCACCATAGATTTTTGAGGAGAAAAATTAGGCAACTCCCATTTTCAAAGATGTTAATTTTAAAACGAGTATCCCAATGTGTGGTTTTAGTCGTCAAACCCAATTTGATTTCTATGGAATCATAGTGCACATATATTTTATTAAATAATAATTCCTCTTTTATTAAAAAAAAATCCTGCTTATTATTTTTAACTCTAAACGACAGCTTTTTCGCCTCTCAGTTCTCAAAAACCCTGAGCAGCCATTTCAGAAAACAAAACAAAAGAAAACCCCACATATCAAAACACCACAAAACCCTCTCATTAAGCTCTCTGCAAAGTTTGAGATGTACTTTCATGTGAATCTTGGCCTCTGTACAGCACTGCTGCACAATCATTTTCATCTGAGATTTGAACATATTGGAAGAACTAGAGCCTTCCTTTCTTTTATCCTGTCATTTACCCCCCCTGGAAGTGACGGGCATATGGCAGGCACCCTCCCTAGATTCTCAAACAACAGGAGGGACCTGATTTCAATTCCTACATCCTGTCATCAGTGACTCTCGGGATATTTTGTTCTTGCAAGGCTAAGGATGTGATTCGAATTTGCCATACGGACAGAGCTTAATGCTATGCCATTTTTACCACTGGCACCCTCAATCAGTTAATTAAACATGATATAAATCACCACATGTATTTGTAAAGTAAGATTAATATGGCAAAGTCAAAGTAAATGAGGAATCCTCCTTATCCTAGGAGTGTGAATCACTGATAGGAAGATTACACTTTTGGAAACTCAATACTTTTGAGCAGGCTTTGTTGGTTTAATCCCTCAGACTGCTTTGTGCAACTTGAAACCTGGAGCTGTCATCTTTAGCCAAAATTTCAGCCATAACTTCCTCAGCTTTCACCCCATTATTGAAATCAGCATTCACAATACTTAACAAAGATCAAACCTTTCAGCGGACCACAGTGCAGCCTCTTACCACCTGGGACACCAGAAACATGTTTAATAAATATTTCATTTTGTTTTAACATGAAGACTTTCCCTGGTTTCAATTTTTTTTTTCTTTCCTGGGGAGCTAAGGGCTACCACCAAGCTGCACATTCCGTCACTATGGTCAGTTAGGTTTATAGCCTTAATAAAAGGATTTGCCCCCCTTCACATGCTAGGGAGCCTTGTTAAACCACAGCAATTATAGAAACACAAGATAGGTGCCCTGCAAAGATCAAAGCTCACCTAAAGACAGCTCTGTAGGAATTTGGAGCTCTCTTTGAAAAGCACTCAGTTTACAAAGTGTAGAGGTATTAAACCCTAGGAATTAAAAAAAAGCTTATTTTAGAATAATGTTAAAAGTCTGACAGTAGTTAATATGGGATCTTCTTCAGCCACTCTTTGTGTATTATTTCTAATATCTATTCACGGCATACCTATAATAGCTCCAAAGGAACCATTATGCTCAGAAGACATACGCATATGATGGATCCTTAATACCAAATGCATTACCTACTCAGTAGGTACATTTTAACCTCAATATCCCAGCTCAGGGACAGGGTGGGAAAATAGCATGTAAATTTCTTTAGGAGGAAAAAAAGGCAGCGTGCCTGGGTCTTCAGCTTTGTGGCTCAGTGAAATCCCTAGAGGCTTTGCTTTCCATGCAGGAGGGATAGGTGATGACCTGTGCTGGGCTGGACCAGGTGACTTTAGCATCTGGCCTTTGGGCTGTGGCACAACTCACCCAACTCTAATTGGATGTTGAAGTACCCAGTCTTAGGCGTTGTAATGTTTGCTCTACCTCTGTAGATTGTATCATTCATCCAGAAACACACACACACACACACACATACACACACACACACACACACACACACACACACACACACACACAGAGTAATGCATGTAGACTCCATTTCAGAAAAAGAATGCTAAACCCTGAGTGGCCTAAACTTAATTGTGTGGCTATGGGAGCTTTTGGGTGACAAAGGGTCTGCAAGCCAAACAATTACTTTTGTGTGCAGCATCTTACAACAGGGCAGTATAAATGGGCTCGGCCTGGGATTTTGAATTCTGTGCTTCAGCCTTGGAAAATGAGTTATTTAAAAGCAGCTATTGCCAGGAACATTTTAATATCTATTTAGAGAAAACTATTTGGGATTTTGAGTGTCCAGGAGTCTTTAGCTTTGAAACATGCAGAGATAAATGCAAACCCCTCATTTTACATCAGCATATCCATTTTAAATAAAAGGCTGTAATGATGATAAAAGTAAGAGCTGATATTTATTGACTGCTTGCTATTTACCAGGCTGTATGCCCAGTACATTACATGGAGTATTACATTTAATCTTCATGACAACCCTATGAGGTAGGTTCCTTTATCATATTTATTTTACAGACGAGGAGACTGTGGCTCAGAGGGGCAAAGATCACATCACTAGTAAGAGGTGGGGTTGTGATTTTAATCTGCGTTACATGACTCTAGAAGCCATGCTTTTACAGCCTGTTACTATCTGATTTGAAGTTTATTTTGTACTGTGATCTAAAGTTTCTATTTTATGCTTCATTTTTATTTAGCTGTAACTTTTAAGAGAATTCTAATCCTTGAAAACAAAGTTAACAGAGTCTATTTTTCCTGATTAACTTTCTGCTTTTAATTTTAGTGTTAAATGGGTAATGTAACTTTAGGTTTTGTATTTCTAATAATGTATTTTGGAAAATGCCATATCCCAAGAGTTACCTGAAAGAGTTTCACGATAGCAACTCTTTTTTTTTTTTTTTGCCTTGGAACCACCATTTTTTAATTAATCTAAGAAAATGCCATCATTGAAAATAGAAGCAATCAACTATCTTGTTTGCCTTCCCTTTGAATAAAGCTTTTCCTTTGACTAGTTCAAGATTCTGATATGTTATTTAATAGTGAAAGAGATGTTCCAGATTTAGAAGTATTATAGTGCAGCATGAGTCAGATAGGCCTGAATTAGAATCTTGGATTCACCAAGTTTTGGTTCTGTGATCTTGGGCAACTATTCAAATTCTCTTAATCCTATCAGATTATTATTAGTAAAACGAAAAAAAAAATAATGCCAATCATACAGTGTTATATGAAAACTTTATGAAATATATATGTA